GCTGAAAAACTGGGAAGAAAATGTATGTCCTCAGTCTTTAATTTTACTAAATAATGAGTGCTAGCTGGAAAAAACGGAAGTTACGTGAGGCAGATGATGTCTTACACAGACCTTGTCCAAGAATTTGCTGTCCAGATTTGCTTTTGTTAGCTGAGAGAGGCATCTACAACCCTCCCTTCTGGGGGCTTGTCAAACATTTTAGAAGTAATCTAAAAAAAGAAAAAAAAGTATTCATTACTCACACTCTTGCAGAGGTAAAAGGATGTGGTTGCTGATCTGATTTTTTGAAAAAATCTCCGTTTTCCTCCCAATTAGTAAATACTTATTCTGCACATCTAAATAATCATATTTACTGGTTGTTCTATAAATAGAACATTGTTCTTTTTCCCTCCAACCTGTATTTGAAGTGTGAAGCATATTTGGCTGCCAAATTTCACATTCTGACTATTGGAGTATTTTTGTTTTGGTTGGGTTTTGTTTTGTTTTTCATTTGTTTCTTACTGCACTGAACAGGTAGTGAAAAGACCAAGGAAAGTTCAAGCTGCTGCTCTGAGAAGAAGCCCCTCTCTTGACTATGAGGACAGAGCTCTAGACATAATGGATGATCATGCAGAATTCGATGGTAAAAGTGCTCAAAGTGGCTATAGCGACAGGAGCTGGCATAGTGGTAATGGTGGGCACAGTCAAAGCTGGGGAAACAGCCTGGATCAGAGCTACAGAGATGAACAAGACCGAGGGCGTAACCGAAACAGAGACCGCGATAGAGAATGCAGCTACAGCCACAATCGTAGTCGTGGTAGGAGTGTTGACAGGAGCTTGGATCGAGATTATGGAAGAGATCGGAGCAGGGGAAGAAGCATCGACAGGGATGGTGGCTACGAACAGAACTACGGAGGAGACTACAGCCTGCCCAGTTATAGTCATGGATCTCAACCTGATCCTAGATACGCGAGGGAGGTAAGGAGTCGAAGTCAGGACACGCTTCGATCCCGAAGTCCTTCACCTGAAACACACCGTCAACCTGAGTACCTAGGACCACAGGATCAGAATGGACCTATCAGTGTTCTCTTAACAAAAGGCAGACATAATGAAGGTAGGTATAGCACTGGGGGGAGAGGAACTGACTTTTAATACAGCATGTTATTTTTGACTGGGGAGGGAGAGGAGCTGAATATTCTCTGCTTTTACAGGTTAAGTGTTGAGTTTTCTGACTGATCGCTTAAGTTGTTCTTTCATTCTTCCTGGCTGGTCTGGGGTGCTTTTTCCCCCAGCGCCTTGATCTTCACCTTAGAACAAAGAACTAATCACCAACGTAATTTCAGTGTTTTCAAGCCACTGTGTGCTTTGGTTTTCTATTTTCTCTGCCCTATTCTGATTCTGGTGGGAAATATGGATCTGATCATGATTCAGATTACACTTAGCACACCTACAACGGGGTCAGCTACAACGGATGAAGAGTAGACTCTGGTAGTGCACTTACTTCTTCCCTTCAGTATAATTAAATTAATTCCAAGGATTGTTTGGTTCTGAATACTTCAGAATGTAGTTGAGGAATACTGAAATAGTAACAGCTGAAACAGCCTTTCCTTGCTGAGTATTGGAGTGTGTAGATGAAAGCCAAAAACCTGATCTTTTGTGGGCTGTGAAATAAGGACTCCTGTACTGTAAAGTATATCTGAGATTAGGTTGTGCCACCTTTTCTGTTTGGGTTTTTTTAAGTGGTGTGATGGTTTGTTTCTAGGAGTTTTGTGGGTTGTTGGGTTTTTTTCCTCATCTACCCTGTTATGGCTTGTAAGAATTTTCTGTTCATGCAAAGTTTATATGCCAGAGCTATCCTCCTTTTTTCATTGGCTCTGGCAAGGATCCCTTTCCCTCTGTCCTCTTCTTCCTCTCCATATAGTGTTTCCACTTGTAAAGATAATGCAGATAGGAGATTAAAAAAATACGGAAAAAATTAACGTCTCTTTGTTAAGTTTTATTTGTAGCTAGTAATTCCATAATAATTTCTGCTATTCATATGGATACTCTGCAGACTTGCTCAAATGTGGTAATTTTTAAAAGCAGATAACTTTTTCTTTCCTTCTTCTGTTGTTCTAGGATATGCGTGTTTTAAGTGTTGCCTTTTTTTTTGTTTTAAGTAGCAAATATACTAGTCCAAGTAACTTGGATCAAAGGGAAAAAAGGGCAGGGGGTGGGGGAGGAGAAAAAAGTCCTTTGCCTGAAGCAACCAAGATACTTACTGGGGTAGAGATAAGACAGGATCAGCATGGAGCAACTAATTGGTAAAAATAACCAGCTCTTCTTCTGTTGGTGTTTTTTTTTTATTGGCATTTCTGATCCACGCAAAATACGGCCCAGAGAGAGAATCTATGCCAGCATGTTAATAAGCACCTCCATAATGAAGGCACTGCTTTGCTGCTGAAGGAGCAGACTAATCATCCATCTGTGATTGTTTTTGGACTGCTGTTTGTTCTTACTGTGGTGACAGCACAGAAATAGAGTTGGCCTAGGGTTAAGTGGGTTTACTATGTCTGCATTTTGTTTCCTTTTTCTTTTCTCATGGTGTAAGGGGATGTGCTGCATGTGCACTGTGTAGTTAAAAAAAAAAATGCATCCTTGCTCATCTTCTAAGCTGCAGTGGATTATTTCCCTGATTCCAGAATATGGTCTTCGGCTTGGAAGTCAGATCTTCATAAAAGAAATGACCCATACCGGCCTAGCAACCAAAGATGGCAACCTTCATGAAGGGGATATCATTCTCAAGGTCTGTTCTGATTATACTGCTAGCACTTTAGCAGGCACTTCTGGCAGTGGTTACTCTGGAGTATGTCAAGTTCACTGT